TTTTTTTTTTGGTTTTTCTCCGGTACCGGGAACCGAACTCACGACCTTGCGCTTGCCAGGCAGGCGCTTTTGCCGCTGAGCTAAATCCCCAGCCCCCCTTTCAGCTTTTTTATAGCAGAATCTGCTTAGTGAGTGTGTGTAGCAGTGAGGACCTTGTAAAGAGGAACGGGAGAAACACAAGGAAGAGGCCAGTCTTGTGTGGCTGTGCTCCCCGCCCCACCTCGCCCCAGCACGGAGCTCCGGGCTCAGGAGGCCCTGCTTGGCTCAGCGGCTTGAAGGCATTGTAGTATACATTCAGGAAAGGGTTTGTGTTTCTCAAGCAAATGGGTAAGGGTGTTTGTAGGTAAAGACTGATACGGGAAGGAGTCATGGGCGGAAGAGCCGCCCTGCCCAGTCATCTGCTCAGAAGCCTGGTGACCTTACAGTTACACACCATGTTTTGTTTTCTTTGAGACAGGGTCTCAGTATCCCAATTCAGGCTGGCTTTAAACTCTCATGTAGCCCAGGTTTGTGGTCTCAAACTCACAGCACTCCTCTGCCTCAGCTTTCTGAGTGCTAGGATGAGAGGCTTGTGCCACCGTACACAGCCACACCATCCCTCAGCTGGATGTCCTCTTCAGCTGTCAAATGAGAACAACTTAAAAATTCCACTTTCCTGGGGCTGGGGATTTAGCTCAGTGGCACAGCGCCTGCCTGGCAGGCGCAAGGTCATGAGTTCAATTCCCGGTACCGGAAAAAACCAAAACAACAAAAAAAATTCCACTTTCCTAACAGCCTAGTGAAGCCCACCCACAGTCCCACTACTCTGGGAGGCTGAGGCAGGGGGATCCCTAATTTAGCAATTTAGAGAGATCCTGTCTCAAAAAATAAAAGGGCTGGGGCTAGCTCAGTGCAAAGGTCCTGGGATCAATCCCCAGTAGTATCAAAAACATACCCAAAAACCCACTTTCCAGTACTTAGAAAAAGTACTTTCCCTTTCAGCAGCTAGTTGACAAAAATGGTGACTCCATGAATCATCAGACACCTAACGTACAGTACAAGGAAGGCACATTCTTAACAATGCAAACTAGTTCAGACAGTCTTGGTCAGTTAGGTAAACCAGTTTTCCTGGCTTCTCAGAGGCTGAACTTGATTCATTTTCAAAGTGAGTCAGTTGTGGGATTTTGGGCAAAGATGATGGTGCCTACAGCGCAGACACCTCACCGACGGCCGTTCTGCGTGGGTGGAGGGCATAGCAGGAGCTGAGGACTGGGAGGAGAAATTGTGTGATTGTCCCGAGCAGCAATTCACACTCACGGGAAAACTCAGGAACTGCAGGCAACCTAAAAAAGCAACCCTAATTCACGCCTTAGCTTTACAAACTTTAAAGGCAGCTCTTCGTCCAGATCCTTCTGCTTATACATTAAAATGATGTCAGGCCAGGGATGTAGCTCAGTGGCACAGCGCCTGCTTGGCAAGCGCAAAATTGTGAGTTGGATTCCCAGTACCAAAAAAAAAAATATCACAGACTGAACTTTCGCCGTTCTGTGTCCTGTTCTCTGCTCTGCACAGCAAGACCTTCTGTCCTTACGGATGCACCGTAAGGCATCTGTAAGTGCTGCATAGCGTTCTGCTACAATAACATGCAATTTGTTGTGGAGACTTCCTTCTCCGCCAACGGAGCTAAAGATAATCTGCTATTACAACCACCAGTGCAGTGAACTTGCAGTATGAGTAATTTAGAGATAATGGAAGGTTTCAAAACATTAAACAGGTGACAAGAATAATTCAGTGGCCATTGGTTTTTTTGTTTTGTTTTCGTTTTTGTTTTTTGTCTTTTTGAGACAGGGTCTCACTATGCAGTTCAGGCTGGCCTTAAACTTGGCAGGGCTCCTTCTGCCTCAGCCTCCCAGGCACTGGGGTTGCAGGAGTACGCCGCCATACCATCTACAGACTTTTAAAAACTTACTCTTTATTAGGGATAAATTTGCCCATGCCCCAGAGCAGTTTAAGTGTAGTGAAGTCCCAGAAGCCATCAACACACTGCCAATCCTGCTACTTGAAGCATCCATGTTATTTAAAGCAAAAAAAGAGCCATGCATGGTGGCACACGCCTGTAATCGCAGCACTCGGTAGGCTGAGGCAGGAGGATTGTTGAAAGTTCAAGACCAACCTAGGCTACAAAGTGAGCTCAAGGCCATCCTGAACTGCATAGTTAGACCCTGTCTCAAAAAAAAGCTGCATGACTAAAATTCAAGCTTTTTTTTTTTTTTTCCTTTGGTACCAGGAATCAAACTCAGGACCTTGCACTTGCCGCACAGGCGCTTGTGCCCTGAGGTGTATCCCCAGCCCTCAAGCTGTCTTTTACCAGCTAAAATTTGAGTTTCCACTGAAGGATTATTTATGTTTCTTCAATTTGTAGTACAGTTTTTTCCCAACATCTTTTTTTTTTTTGGTACCAGGAAGCAAACTCAGAGAAGTTTCACATGCACCTGACACCTGTATTCTACAAGTCCTGTCACTGTTACACTTGCTGGATGGTGTCTTCCTGTTTATCTGTTTGTGCCTCCACCCACCACCAATCCTGTGTTTAAAAATTAATTTCAAAATAAGTTGCAGCATCAGTACATTTCCTCCCAGAACGTCAGCACACTTTATTAAGGCTTAGTATTTGCTTATGGTTCTGTTTTTTCCTCCAGGGGTGAAATTTGCATGTGACGATCAGTACACATGTCCAGCTTCCTGTTCAGGTCTGCACCTGGGGACCGAAAATCTCGCCAAGCCACACAACAGTCCCCATCACCCAGAGGGTCCCTCGCACTCCTTTCCTTTTTCCAACACAGGTTCGTCTTGCCTGTCCTGGATGTTCATATAAACGGAATCACACAGGATGTCCTCTGTTTCTTTTAAATTTGAGCATGTCTCACTATGTTGTCCATGCTGGCCTTGAACTCACTATGTAGTCAAGGCTGGCCTCAAACAGCGATCTTCCTGCCTCAGCCTCCCAAGTGCTGTAATTACAGGCGTGCACCCTCATTCCC